CACTAAGAAGAATATATGCAGTGTATTATTTGTTGAAACTGTACTTCCGATTTGATTTGAAACTGTCTCATTGCTATATGTTTATCAATAAAACTGTAGAAAAAAAATAAAATAAAATGGGGATAATAATAATCCTACTTCAAAAGGCCTGTATGAGGATTAAATGAGGTCATGCTTGTGAAGTACTCAGCGTGGTGCCTGCCATACACCAGGGCATGGAACTCAAGAGCATCCGTGAGCAGGGCCCACAGTTGCTCTGAAGAGTTTTTTTCCCACTTTTAATGAAAGTTTGCTACCATTTACACTTGTCTCGACCAATTTTTTGCTCAGCACAGAAAGAATCTAGGAACCCCTTCCAGAAGGTGACTCCAGCAACCTTGGACTCTGTAACAGCTTCATTGAACCCCTCTGTGTCAAGCTCTGTCCTCAGCCCTTCACATACAGTACTGGAGTTCATTCAACCTTGTCAAAGAATTGCTGATGCAGAAATAATTGCTGACGTTCTCAAGGCAGTAAAGTTTAACAGTCTGGTAGGTGTGTGGTGCATGGTGGCCCACGTGCATCCCCAGCATTTGGGAGGCTGAGGCAGGGAGATTGCACTGAATTTGAGCTCAGTCTGGACTCTGTGGTGAGTTCAAGCACACAGAAAATCATTTTCTCAGTAAATAAATAAATAAATAAATAACCACCCCCTATCCCGCAAAACCATCAAAACATTCTGTTAGGGGTGAGTTCTGGACAGAGAAAAAAGATGAAATCTGGGTAAAATCCTGAGGCAAGCCTAGAAAAGAAATGTTGGGCAGAATAGTTCTCAGATCAAATCCTGAGCTCTGTAAGATAATAAACTCTATTGCATGTGAATTTATGGCATGAGCAAGTTTCTTCTGGAATTCAGTAAAAGGGCTTCAGTCTGTGTTCTGAATGATGAGAAGTTAAACTAGTATTTACCTGTATAGACTGAGACAAAGCCACCAGCAGTGTGGTGTTATTAGAATGGCCTTATACAAAATAAAAAAGACCAAAAACAAACAAGACAATTGCACACACAACCTTTAAATCAAAAAAGATAAAAAACAAGGTAATAGCATGGCCTTATGCAGATATCACATTGGAGAGTAGGGGAAGTTCCTGATTTCGGGATCCCCCCTAACTCCTACGTGTCCAATCAGGCAGAGTGTGGGGAAACAGAAGCACTGCCCACCTGGCTACTTCCAAGCAGATAGCTGATCATCGCTGTCCCCAGTGTCTGGTTCTTTCCTTCCCCAACTCCTGGGCACCTTCTCCAATGCTTTCCTACTTTCAAGGCTTACACAGCTATCTCTTTTATCTTAACCTCCTCTCAAAGCAGCATCTGAAGTGGCCAGCATAATCTAAGTAACCAAACGCTTTTTCCTCAGAGTCCTTCGCATTTTTGGTGGGGACTAGCATACTAAGTATGCTAAGCTATGAGGGAATTGAAAGTGGAGCTGTTGGCCATCAGCACAGAGGAGGAAGCTGTCTGGAGACCTGACAGTGTCTGATAATTGACCTCTTGCCAGAGCTCCAACTGAAGGAGGTGCCCTGGTTCTCAACCAGCCAGAGGTGAGGACAGGACAGAGCCCTAGAGGACATACTATCAGCTTGGAAACTTCTTTAAGTATTTATGTGAAAATTTGGGCTCCTCGTTGCTCAAGTCTGGTCACATGGCTCCGAGAACACAAGAAGTAGGACCAAGAGTCTGAGCGAGGAGCTTCTGATTCAGTGACTTCTCTGCTGCAGGTCAGGAGTTGCAGGACCAGGGCACAGCTGGGAGAGATTGTAGGGCTCTGCAGAAACAGAAAAGAAAAGAGCAAGGGAGAGGAGGTACCACCAGGTGAGATCATTGGGGTGAGTAGGAAAGACTTTTCTAACTTCTGAGGGTTTGAGATTTCAGGAGGTGAGGAAGAAGAGGAAACACATTGCACTTGCATTTGGGGACAAGGGGGCTGGGGTCATGGAAGAGTGGTTGGTAAGTCATGCTTTCTGTTTTCCCTTTAGTGGGAGGACACGGATCTGGTCCAGGGCACTCAACACTGACCTTTCTAGGCCTCACACCAGGGTTAATCAGGGAATGAACAAAGGAAAAGTCCAAGTCAGCCTTGTGGACACGAAGATGTGTCTGCCTCAGCTGAGGCACCCAGGGCTGGCTGGTAGGGAGGAGACAGAGTGGAAGTGGGCTGTCGATGAGAGGCTGAGGATACCAGGGTCACCCATGGGAGCATGGAGATTTCTGTGGCTCTCTTGTGCTGCAGAGGGAACAAGCCCAAAAGACCCTATGGGAGCCAGGACTGGCCTGAGCTGTACTAGGGTACCAGGATGGTAGACAGGACAGTGTCTGATGCTTGAGATTCCTTGGGGGTGACATACATTCAGCCTGCCTCCTGCTCTCTCCAGCCCACCATCTTCAAGAACTAGGAATGAATGGGAGATGCAACAATGTCCCCCAGTACTCGGTGGTTAGCCCCTGGCCACCTTCCTCCTCTCCTCCCCCACTGCCTACCAGCACCCCTCCACCTTCCTCAGCTGCTCCAGGCAGATCCATCATGTGGGCACTGACGGCCCTCCTGCTCCTGGGTGAGTCCTCTGAGAGGTGGTAGCAGCAGCAGGACTTTGGATGAGGAAGCTAGGGTAGGCAGGACAGGGCGTGTGGGGTGGGGGAGGTGGCTGCTCCACCCTCAGGTTCCAAATGGTACCATATCTATTTTTGGAGGGGTGGAGAAAGGAGAGCTTTATCAGAGTTGGGGTAACCAGGGGCAAAAATAAGAACAAAATTTAAGACCATTCAGCCTTTCCCATGGTCATCAGGGATTCTTTCATCTGTAACACTCTCTTCCTTTCTTATTGTTTCACAGTTCCAAGCATTGGTCAAGCTGGTGAGTCTTACGTATCTCTTACCCTACTGTTTTGTTTTTCTTCTCTCTTCTCTTCTCTTCTCTTCTCTTCTCTTCTCTTCTCTTCTCTTCTCTTCTCTTCTCTTCTCTTCTCTTCTCTTCTTCTT